CGGCTAAGAGCCGGCGACGGGGCCGCGTCAGGGCCAGCGGCGGGCCGCGATCAGCGGGCGGCGGGGCCGCGTCAGAGCCGGCGGCGGGGCCGCGTCAGAGCCGGCGGCGGGGCCGCGATCAGCGGGCGGCGGGGCCGCGTCAGAGGAGGCGGCGGAGCCGCTGCAGAGGAGGCGGCGGGGCCGCGTCAAGCAGGGGTGGCGGGGCCGCGTCAGAGGGACAGCGGGGCCGCGAGAGTAATGGCGACCCGAAGGGTCGCGAAAAAAATGCGCGCCTCGGGGCGCGCTTCGGTGGGCCCTAAAAAAAACGGTCCTTAGGAAGGACCCGCTCTATACCATGTGAAAGATAAGAGAACAGGAATGAAATGACTAAGTCAGAGTTGGGTACAAATACAACCCTAGAAAGCTGTACCCTATATGTGCTACCCCACTATAGCCTACAAACATGCATCAGTTATAATACTGTGACAGGAAGGTGGGGATGGACCTTCCCGATGCGGTTGCGAAATTTTGCCTTTTGGGCGCGCGTAGTTTCTCGGGCGGCATTTTGCCCAAACCTCGGAGGAGGGTTCCACCCCCGTTTCCATATGCGGTCACGATGCTGATGCTGTTTTTTTCAATTAAAAAAACGATGTGCTGGCAAACAACACCCAGGTATTTGTGCTGGACTCAGGGATTCCTGCATATTTGTAGAACGACTAACGATGGGTGGAGCATCAAAGATTGGCATGAGTGTGACGGCGAGAATCCTCGGTTGTTTCAGAACAAGCCGCCTCGACTCACTCAAGTCGCGACGCGATCCTTCTGGTTGCTTCTGGCTCACGCTCGCGCCTTCCAGTCCCTCCGTCCGCCAATGCCAAGACAGTCGCCGTGGCTGGGCGAATCGCAGGCCACTCTTACTGCCAATCAGCGATTCGTTCTGCTGTGTCGTTTGAGTCCACAGCCGTCGCCTGGTGGTCGTCATCGTCGAGGCTATTGTTGCTGACGGAAGTAACGGACGAAGGTCAGCGAAGGGTGCACAGAGCCTTCGCGGGAGGTCATTTTCGGCCCTGTGAGATGGCGTTCCTGAGATGGGGCCCCATTCGGACCCATCCGACGTGGCCCCAAGCAACAGTGCACGAAACGCGTGGTATGGCAGCAAAGTGGGGGGTGAATGTGGCCGTCGCATGAGTTGGCAAAAGAGGGTCATGCAAAATTGCCTCACGTTAACTTTCTTGCCTCTGAACGTCAGCACGAGTCAAGCTAGACTGTCACGTAACCAAAAAAATGAACATCATCTGGCGCATACAACTACGTAGCACAATGCAATTCCCGTGAAAACCCCTAAAAGTTGTAACGGTTCCCACCCAGTGTGTTCTCGACGGTCTCATGGGAGTATGTGGCTGTCATAACTACTGTCGATTTTTACTGTCACGGACCCAGTCGTGACTGGATTGTTATCGGAGCACACTTGCGAGACTAGGTTGGAATTGGCCGTTTAAAGCTCCGGTATACATTTGAAAGGAGGGGTTCAAAATCCTTAGGAACTTGAAAACTTGCCCCAAAAGTCTGAGGCACACTATAAAACCCTGAACCTAGCTTACAAATGTATACTTGTCGCATGAAAGTTAATACAAAAGCATGTTTTTTCGCCCCAGACGACTCCTGTCGCCAGGCACATCACCCTTTTCGGTTCGCGTCAGGCGAGCCTCCCCTCCTTTCCTCCTGTCACACGGCCCCCGACCCACCCGAGTTTTCGAGACCAGCTCCTTAGAGCGTGGAACATCCTTGTGAACAAGTGTCCTGTTGACTCTCTGGTCGAACATTTGTCTCGTCAATGGTTTTCGTCAGGTAACACGCAAAACCCCATATCCCAAGCTGGAAACACTTGGCCGCCCAGAAATACGGAGTCGCGATGATACACGAAAGCGCCTGCTTCGTCAAACGCCGTGCTGCAAATTGGGTCGCAGCACGTCACTCACAACAGCACCTGGTTTCATTTCGCATGTTTTTCCTGACGTCGCCACTTCTTGTCTTATCTGCGAGGTTCAACGGGTGGGGCGACCAGCAAGCATAAGCTGTGGAACGTGCGTTCTTCAGGCAGTCTTCGTCAGTCTACTTCGTAGGTCAATGGCGATGATCGCAACAATGATTACTGTCGCTGTTGGGCGACCATCGCCTTGTTCAAAAGGATGTTCCACGCCCTTATCCCTGATTGCCTTGGTCTCACCTCTCCGCCACCTACCCCGACTATGTCGCCACCTAGGCTATCACCTAGGTTTCTACCTACCGCGGATAATCGCAGCCCCAGCTTACCTGACTATTCCACCGTTCGATTGTCCAACCGTCGCCGATCAGGCTGGTTCCCGTCACTCGACATCGATTCGGCGCCAGGTAAGTTGGTCCTCCTCTTCGGTCCGCTGCTCACCTCGATTTCCTTGTCTAACTTTACGCCGACATGCAGGGCTCAGGTCGTAGTAACTCCAAGGCCAAACCCGCTCTTTTTTCATCCCCTACGGCACGACGCTCATAACCTACGCCTCAACCCGACTAGCTTCGCCTTTCGCTCCTCACGCTCTCGCTCTCGCTCGCATGCTCTCAGTTTTTCCCCCGCGCTACCGCTCATCTGCTCTCGCTCTCGCTGTCACCCCGGAGCAGCTCAGGGTTGCCGGAAGTCCTCTGATGTCCTCGCGCTAACGCCGACGGATAGCCCTCCGCCTCCGCCAGAAACTTGTCCGCATAAAGACGCGCTGTTCTTCACTGCTCCGCCCCCTCGGGCTTCCCCGTCGTCACGTTTTTGCCCAACCCTTTGCTATCTCCGGATATCTATGCCCCCCACCCCCTTCACGCCTCTCCCAACCTTTCCGCCAAGCATGCCGACGTTCACAACAAGGCTTGGCTGCGCGCCTCGCTGCCAAGCTGCCCCTTCGCGAGTCGGGTCAGCTCCACTGCTGTGGAACGGAAAGCCTGCCGCCCGCCCCCGGGCAACGCCCTCCCCGCTCTTTGTGCTACTGCGTCGACGTCTCACCTTCGCCGTACTTCTATTTTTGGCAGCAGTGGCAACCCCAAGCTTGTCCGTGCAAACCCTCTCGCTCACCTCCTCAGGTAAGTACCACCGCTCACCCTCCAGCCTCCTTAAGTCGCTACCTTTTCAGGCCACATGGTCACCTGCTTTCCCTGACTTTCTGCAATGTCGCTCTCTGTAGCGCTTCGCTGCCCCCCAACTCTCCTCAACTCCCATGCCTATGTGCGTGGTCTTCGGACTCGGAATGCCAATCAGGCTGCCAGTCCGCTCCCGTGAATCGCTGTGGCCAACGCCTTTGCGCTCACCCCCCCTCTCTTGCCACTGCTGGCGTTTGGCCTTGTGCTTCGGGAAGCCCGCCGGGCCTCCAGCCACCTCTCTTGGACCACCCTGGCTCCCTCTCCTGCACCCCTGCCGCGTTTGTTTCACCCTTCACGGTCTCAGCTCACACCACCCGTCCCCCCCCCTCTTCCCGGTGCTTCCAACCCGCCTTTCCCCCCAATTTCATGCCCTTCGTCATCACGACGCCGCCCCCCCCGTTTTTCTCCGGGTCGGGCTCGTTCCACCCTGGTGACTCCCACAGCTCGCCTCATCCTTGATCTCCCACCTTTCAACATGCTGCTATACCGCCCCCCCGTTCCCCCGGATCTGCCTCCCCCCCTCATGCCTCTCAGGCTCCACTCTGGACCCTCAGGTGCTCCTGAGACCCTGCTGCTCCACCTCCCACGCCCTCCGCATCCTCACTCCCCTTGTTCCATGCCCCTACTCTCTTTCTGTGCTCCATGCAGATCGCCTTGCTTCCTCAGCTTCCAAGAAGTTTCCTCCCGTTGGAGACCTATCCTCCTTTGCCTGCAACACTAGTCACCTCTGCTGCCCCTTGTCTGCGTACCCTGCGATACTGCACAGCAGTGTTTTACATGCTGCCGTGCCAGATAGGTTTCACTTGTGATTGTGCATTAACTAGCTACAACCTGTTTGCTCCTTGCAGCTCCCTACCTTGTAAAGAATCTAGTTTGAAACTTTGCTACCAGTGTCTTGCCTCACACTTCTCCCAATACAAATTGGCAACGCTGCCTAGTACCGCTGTGTGGATAACCAAAAGACTACATACTAGCCTCTCCTGTAAAGAACCTAGCTACACCAGTAAGAGAACTGACATGGAACTCAGTAGCGGCATTCGACAACCAAGCCGACCAAAACCCGAAACCCAACACACGCACCTGATGTACATACACCTACCCAACAATCACAGTACGCTTATAATCGTTACTCCCAGCCCCCACCGACCTGCTCGCCCATCACAACTGCGCCGGATACGACACACTGTTCGCGAACGTACTACAATGTCAACTTCCCCCTTACCCACGGGACCACAGCTTAGCATTCTCTGCCGCCCCCCCCAAGCCATCCCCACAGTGCCTTGGGATAATGCACAGACCCCTTACTCCACCCGACACTCGCCCTTCCCCCTCCCGCAACAAACATCCCTTAGACCCAGGCCGTGGATAAGCACACTCTCCTGTGCGGTGGCCTCCACTGCATGGCCATGTTAACACACCTACGCTTCCTTTGTGTCAACGTGAACGGAATCAACGAAACACGCAAAACGGACCAACTCAAATCCTGGCTGGCGGAACTCCCTGCACCTGCTGACCTGGTCATACTCATCGACACCCGGCTCATCCAAAGAATCCCCAATCTCGACCTAAAACTCCGACCCCACTCCTCCGCTCACGCTCCAGCACTTCTCTCTACCGACTCCGCAACAGGGAAGCCCACGCTCATCGGCGGGGTCTCTATCCTTCCATTCAACAGGGCTATCTCACTGTCCTCCCCAACCCCCTCCGCAGACGGCAGACTAATCACTGTACACCTTAACTATCTGCGTGAGCAAATCCGCCTCATCGCCATTTATGCCCCCACACAATTCTACGGACGCAGAATATGGTGGACCTCCACTCTCGTCCCAGCACTAGAAGCCCCCACCGCCGCCTCCGCATCCATGCTAGTAGGAGATTTCAACTCAGTCGTCCTTCCCTTCGACAGGAACCGCCCTCCCAAAGACTTCGAGGCTCGTGAGGGCGCCTCTTTTGCCAAACTCATGGAAAACCACGCCCTGGTGGACACCTTCCGCGAACTCTTCCCCACGCCGACCAACGTCTTCTCCTTCTTCAGGAGGCAACGTCTCAACAATCCGACACCCCCTACCTCCTCCCAACTCGACAGAATATACATCTCTCGAGCTTTCACTTCATGCCTCACTGCGAGCCCGTACATCCAGACCCGCACGGCAATCACGGACCACCTTTACGCCCCGCTCTGCTCGCTTAGCTTCATCAACCCCACGGTTGTCCCCCGCCCCTGGCGCCTCAGACAGCATCTACTGATGCGCCCTCATGTCTCTCAAATCATCAACTCCTGCCTTGCAGTCTTCCCAAGCTCACCCTCCCCAGACTCCTGGGACGCATGGAAGCTCGATCTCACCCTTAACCTCAAACGCTTCTCCAACCAGGAAAGGCGCCACGTCGACAGCACAGTCGCACATCTGGAACACACCATTGGCTCACTTCAACGACACGCTGCTCACACACCCCTGACCCAGGCCAAGGCTAACCGCCTCGAACAAGCAAGACTCCACCTGGCCCGGTATGAAGCCTCAAAAGCCTCTGAAATCGCGCTCAAGGCCAAGCTGAAAGTGGAAGGGCACAGGGAAATGGGAGTTTCCTCCCTTCTCTCTGGCCTTAACTCGCGAATCAAGGACTCAATCATCAGCTCCCTGACGCTACCGAATGGACAAACAACGTCGGATCTACCCACCATGACAAACATGTGCTCACACTTCTTCCAGACACTTTACAGCGGAAACACCCCTGCCACTGTAAACACGGCCTTCTGGCAACACATTCCTCCCTCCTCCGTCCCGAACCCCCTTTTCCTACGACTCGGCGCCCCCTTCTCTCTAGCCGAAATTGGGAAGGCATTACTCTCTCTGTCCCGAGGAAAAACCCCCGGCCCAGACGGTCTGTCCGGGGAGCTCTTTCGGCAGTTCGCCCCACGATTCGCACCGGCCTTTCACTCCTTGCTCTCCCCTCCACAACCTCTCTCGCGCCTACCCCCGTCCATGCTGACCAGACGCACTGTCCTCATCCCCAAACGGGGCGACTCCTCGCTCGTAGAAAATCTTCGCCCCATCACCCTCATGAACGCGGACTATAAACTACTCGCGCTGTGCCTTGCCAACCGCCTCCAGCTTGTTCTTCCCCAGCTCATCCACCCATCCCAAACCGCCTTTATCAAACACAGGAAAATCGGGGATACAATCAACGACACCCTGGATATCATGGATTGGGCAGCATTCTCATCTAGCCCTCTCCTCGCTCTCACGATCAACTTCCGAAAGGCCTGCGACCTAGTCGATCGCCCCTTTCTCCTGCAAGCCTTAGCGGTCCTGGGAATTCCAGCTCCCTTCATACACTGGGTACGACTAATGCACTCCGACACCACCACACGTATCTCCATCAATAACATGCTCGGCCCCACCTTCCCAGTCCGCACGGGCGTTCGACAGGGTTGTCCTCTGGCACCTCTGCTCTTCGTGTGTGTCATAGAGATCTTCCACCGATACATGTCCCTCTTCCTCCCCGGTTTCGCTCTATCTCCTGTCCAGCGCCGACTCATGGCGTGTTACGCGGACGATGTCACTCTCTTCCTCACCTCGGACACAGAGCTCGGCCTTGCAGTGATACTCCTCGGCGTCTTTGGGTCCGTATCTGGGGAGGTACCCAACTGGAACAAATGTTCCATCATTCCCTTCAATATCAACCCCACCGACCTCATACACGCCGTCCCTATCCCCGTGCGAGGCCCCGGCGACGCAGAACGCATTCTTGGAATATATGTCGAATGACTACAACCCGGATCCACCACCTGGACCAAGGCTCTCGCCCGCATACAATGCACCGCCAAATTCCTTGCGGCCTTGCACGCCACTGTCACGTGTCGCAAATCTCTGTCATCGATCTTTCTGAATTCTGTCATCTCCTTTCCCGGCCGCTTCCAACCGGCACCACCGATCACCATTAAACAACTTGATATTTCAGTGGGAAACTTCCTCTCGTCCTCAAAACATAAACATGACGGCCTCGCACAACGCTTCCTCCCCAACGGCCTCCTATATAACTCACCCCAAGACGGTGGGGTTGGGGCGATCGCACCATCCACCCAAATTAATGCTCTTGCTATCCAACGCGCTTTGCGCAGATTTGGACCCACCCCAGCCGAGGAAGTCACCCGGACCCTGACCCCGTTCCCATATGGGCTACATGGGCTTTTCTCCCATAAGGCCATCCTCGAATGAGACTATCTTCCCTCCTTCATCCCCCCACGAGCACTGGATGAACTTAAATCCCTCCTCGCCCTTCCCCTAGTTTTCCATGGCCCACCCCCACGCATGCAATGCATCCTTACCAAACCCCTCGCCTTCAACCGGCTGCTCCTCAAGCCCAACGAGCGACCCTTCGGCACTCGCCAACACGAGCGCTTTCTGCTTGCATGTTAACTCCGCATTGGACACATTGTCCAAATCACCAACTTCGACGTTTGCCCCATCTCGGCTCAGGAGTTCTGCTCCCAACTTCCGGAGGAATTCCATGACGACGCAACTCGCCTCCTCCCGGACCTCATCGAGGCTATCAAGCCCCCCTGGTGGGCTGGACTCCGAACCCCTCACCCCACCTCTGCCTCCCCGGGAGACTGGTTCATGATCTCGGATTATCACTACCCCATATCTCACCGCGCTGTCCATGTCGTCGACTTCATCCCCCCCTCTACCGTTTCGGCTACCGTCCACCCAGTCTCGCCCGACCATCGCATCGGCCGCACCCCACTCAACACCGGGCTGTTCCGTTTACATGACCTCATCGAGGTGTACGTCAGGGAATGGTGGCTCGCAGGGCCACTCCATACAGGGACAGGTTTAGGAGCTAGGGTAGAACTTCTATAGGACGGTACCCCCAGCCTCGCCGACATCCGCCGCCTCCTCTACTCCTCACAGCCACTTACTCACCACAGTCGCTGGACCCGAGACCTCACCCTTCCTCCTCCTCCTCTCCCTGGCCTCAAGGACCCCTTCCTCAAAGACCAGCCAAGCCGCCAAAGGGATATCCTTTTCAGACTCTACACACTCAGTCTCCCCTCTGGATCACGCTTCCAATACTTCGACGTCCGAGGAGTTTGCCCCCGATGCCCTGCTGCTGTGGTAGAAACACTTCCGCATATCTTCTTCGAATGTGCCTCTGCCGGAAACGTTATCTCTGCTCTGCCCACTGTCGCCGACCGCCACCTCGGACAAACCGCACCCGCTGAACACATCTTTTTCCCTATACAGTCACGGGACGGAAACTCCCCACCTTGGAGCTTACTAGTTGGAGCAGCAGTCAAGACACTGTGGAACAATCGTTGCGACCACAGGTACCGCAACTCCTCCTCCTCGAGCTTCGAGACATTGCAGCTCATCTTAGCCCAGTTCCTAATCGCTTTCAAGATCTTTATGTGGAGAGGCAAACGGCAACCGGCAAAGAAACGCCATCGTATAGCATCCAGCATCAAGCGAGCGCAGAGACTCCGACTCCTTCTTTTCGACAGGACTGCCATACCCTCTATCCACCCTGACCTAAGGTTCTCCTGGCTCTTGGGAAATCCGTTCCGACCACCATAGTCACCCATTGCATAGAGCGTCTCCCCAGGCAACTGGCGGTTGTCCGCGAGGACAAGGAATAACGTGTGATCCACGTGCTCCGCTGTGAATGCTCGCCACATCGGCCATGTTTCTAGATTGCTCTATCGATACTCTCTGTAAATTGATTACGATCAATATATAACCTTAACCTTAACCTGTCGCCAGGTGTCAGATTATTGTAGCTGATGCATGTTTTGTAGGCTACAGTGGGGTAGCCCATATGGGGTACAACCCAATTAGGGTTGGTGCTTGTACTGCTTTGTTTCATAGTTCATCTCATTCACGCTACTGACTTTGAGATGGTATCGAGCAGGTTCCCTCGTGGGAACTGTTCCTAGGGCCCACCAACATCGATTTTTTTTTTTTCTGACCGTAGCGCACTCAGCCCTAGCCCGAGTCGCACTCCCCTCTCTTAGCCCTTCGTGGCCCCGTCGCGCCGCCCTAGCGGCCCTGTCGTGCCGCGCTCACGACCCCGTCAAGCCACCCGCGTCGCGCCGCCCTCGCGGCCTCGTCGCGCTGCCCTCGCGGCCCCGTCGCTCCACTCTCGCGGCCCCCCTGCCACTTACCTGGACGGCCCCGCCACTACCTACGCGGCCACCCGCCTCCTTCCTGGACGGCCCCGCCACCTACCCACGCGGCCCCCGCCACCTACCTTGGCGGCCCCCCGCCACCTACCTTGGCGGCCCCCGCCACCTACCTTGGCGGCTCCCCGCTACCTACCTTGGCGGCCCCCGCCACCTACCTTGGCGGCCCCCGCCACCTACCTTGGCGGCCCCCGCCACCTACCTTGGCGGCCCCCCGCTACTACCTGCGCGGCCCCCGCTACCTACTTGGCGGCCCCGCCATTACCTGACGGCCCCGCCCCCGCTCTTCCCTGCGGCCCCACCACGCCGCCCAGCAGCGGAGCCGCCCAGCAGCCGCGCCGCCCAGCAGCCGCGCCGCCCAGCAGCTGAGCCGCCAGGCGCCGCGCCGCCAGCAGCCGAGCCGCCGAGCAGCTGAGCCGCCGAGCCGCCGCACCGCCGAGCCGCCGAGCTGCCGAGCCGCCCAGCAGCCGAGCCGCCCAGCAGCCGCGCCGCCGAGCCGCCGAGCCACCCGGCAGCCGAGCCGCCTAGCAACCGAGACGCCGAGCCGCCGAGCCGCCCAGCAGCCGAGCCGCCCACCAGCCGAGCCGCCAAGCAGCCGAGCCGCTCAGCCGCCGAGCCGCCCAGCAGCCGAGCCGCTCGAGCCGCCCTGTCCGGTAAGAGCAGCGCCTTTCTCTCAGCACTGCCCTCACCCCACTTCATGCGCTGCTAGTCTACTGCTGTCATGGCTACCCCCAGTGTCCTCACTTTTGACGCTGTGGGTCGGGCCATTGACTTTGACTTCTGGGTAGACGACCTGCAGCTTTTCATACAGTGCGATAGGGCCGACGGCCTCTCCCCCTTTGACCTCAATTCTGGTGCCTCTCCCGCCCCCGCTGCTGATGCTAACGCCACTCTTTGCTCACAGTGGGCCACACGCGATGCTGCTGCACGACTTGCTGTGCGTCGCCACCTGCCTACCTCTGAGCGTGCGCACTTTAGCCAGTACAAGAGTGCTCAGACCTTGTACGACGCTGTAGTTGCACGCTACTCCTCCCCTGCCACTGCTGCACTGAGCCGCCTCATGCTACCGTACCTCTTCCCTGACCTTGCTGCCTTTGCCACAGTCGCTGACCTCATTACACACCTCCGCACTAGTGACACTCGCTACCGCGCTGCGCTTCCTGCTGAGTTCTGCGCCAAGAACCCCCCCTCCATGTACATCACCCTCTACTACATAGTCACCCGCCTCCCTGACTCCCTTCGTGTAGTCAGGGACCACTTTCTCTCAGTCTGCCCCACCACTCTCACTGTTGACCTCCTCGAGAAGTCCCTCCTAGCAGCAGAGAAGAGCATTCTAGCTGTAGGGGACTCTCGTGGTGACCCGCGCAACCCCATCTTTGAGGGGTGTTCCCCTTCCCTGTCAACGGTAGTTGTGTTTGGCCCCGTCCTCGCTTGGGCGGAGCCGTTCGTGGGGGCCACGAAATTGCAGTGGCCCGTGGGAGCCACGAAATTGCAGTGGTCCGTGGGGGCCACGAAATTGCAGTGGTCCGTGGGGGCCACGAAATTGCAGTGGTCCGTGGGGGCCACGAAATTGCAGTGGTCCGTGGGGGCCACGAAATTGCAGTGGTCCGTGGGGGCCACGAAATTGCAGCTGTCCGTGGGCGCCACGAAATTGCAGTTGTCCGTGGGCGCCACGAAATTGCAGTGGTCCGTGGGCGCCACGAAATCGTGGGAGCCACGAAATCGTGGGTGACCGCCGAGCCACGAAATTGTGGGGGGGCCACGAAATCGTGGGGGGCCACGAAATCGTGGGTGACCGCGGAGCCACGAAATCGTGGGGGACCACGAAATACCCGGTCAACCAGGATACCCGAGCGACGTGCGCGAAAGTCGCCGGGGATATTGTCTGCGAAGGCGATCTCGGGGGTGGTATCCCGAGGTCGACGTGGCTGGTGGGCGCCGTCACGGGCGGAGTGTCTGCGCTGGACATGTGACGGGGAGTTGGGCGCCAACCAGCTGCGCGCACCTGCGAAGCAAGTGCACCGCTGTCCCGCGGATGCGACGCTGTGCAGCCGACATACTGCAGCGTTGGCGCACCACGGACTTGCAACGTTGGCAAGCCGCGACTCTGCTCTGCTGGAGCGCGGTCGACAGAGTTGTGCTGGCACGCGGTCGACCGTGCTGCGCTGGCAGAGGACCAGCAGCCTTGCTAGGTCTGATGTAGTCATTTTTGCCAATGTTGATGCAATCATTCTGAACTTTTGTTATGCCGAATTTCCTAGTGAAACTCTTGCCGATTTTCCCCGTGAACCAGAGCAAGCAGTGTTAGCACTTGGAAACGACTAAGGAATGAACGAACGCAGAGATCAAACGAGCATCCGTGCCTAGCCTGCAGTATATCTCCCGTTGCATTAGTTATCTCCGCATGGTGCGGTGAGCGTGGACGGCACTGCGACGTAGTCTTCAGTCTAGCCGACTTTTGCACTTACCTATTGCGTTCGTAGGCCGGCAGCTGTGCGGTAGTCACTATGGTAGGAGCCGTAGGTGACGGAGGGGTGGTGGACACCCTGGAGGCACGGTTGGAGAACGCAAGGAGAAAGCACGAGGCCAACGAGTATGGCGACCTCCCCTGGACGGTCGTGGAGGCTGGCATCCGCTCCCTGTGGGCGACGGAGCACCGTCCCTCTCGGCCTGCGTCTCCTCGACCGGTGAACAACACGAGTGGCGTTAACGCGGACATTAACGCGGGTGGTGACCAAGTCGGGGCCCCGCGAAATTATGTCGGAGGCAGACGAAGTGAATTGGCGCCGATGTCGGCGACACACGTGACCACGGGAGGAATTGCGCCGAGCTACGGCTACTTCAAGTATCCGCCGGACAGGATCTCGGTCACCCCTCTGCTGGTCGGTCGTCCCGACATCCTCACGTGGAAGGAAGCCATTGAGCCCCAACTGGAGATGGCCGGGCTGATTGGCTTCGCCCGCGGAACCGTGGCAACGCCGGAGGAGCACTACCCCGACCTGCGAGCGGAATTTCGCGCCGTGCAGCTGCTGACCTTTACGGTCATTTCGCGGTGCTGCTCGCCGGGCGTACAGATCGCCTTGAAGCCGTGCAAGGAGTACCTCGACGCTGGCCACCGGGCGTGGCATTTCATAGAGTCAACTTACCAGGTCACCGACGACTTGTACATCTCCCAGCTTGAGAGGCATTTGACGCACCTACGTATGGGCGATGAGGAGACCGCGACTGACTACTGCAATCGAGCTCGGCGAATTCTCGCCACCATTCGGATGGCTGGCGCGAAATACTCGACGGCTTCGTACATCATGCACGTCATGCAAGGACTCCCAAGCAGCTACAATCTGCTGAAGCGGCTGTCGATGGCGCCGAGCACGCGGGCGACGCTCAACGAGGACACACTGACCTCGTACATCCTGCAGGACGAGGCAATGCAGGAGGCTGAGCGGTCCCAGGAGCTCCTTGCGCAAGTAAATTTCGCGGACCCCGTGAAACAAGGTGGTCGCCCGGGGCAGCGCGGGCAGTCTGGTGGCAGTCACCGCGGTGGCGGGAAGCCGGCGAAGGACGCTGACAAGCAGAAGTCGTCCAAGGATAGCGGTCGTGGAGGAGGAGGGCGACGTCGGGAATGCTGGCTGTGCGGCGATCCCGATCACCTCTCCTTCGAGTGCCCCGACCGCAGCGATTCCGACGACGATGACGCGAAGGGAGGCCACGGAAGCTCTGGCAGCCGTCGTTCGCGTCGAGAAAACCAGCCGCGAAAAGCAAAGCAGTCGACGAAATCGACCTCGGCGAAGGACGCCGACTCTTCCGCGGGTGGCAAAGGGCGCAACGGTAAGGAGGCGTCGTGCTTGCTGGTCGGTATCGTAGAGCCGACTGTCTCGCTGGTGCCGGAAGCTGGTGAGGATTTCGAGGCGGTGGCGGCAGCTGTGCAGGCGAACCCCGCGGTGGTCCTGCTCGACAGCGGCTGTTCGCACCACTTGATGGGGATGAAGGAAGCCTTCGTTGAATTGGGGCCGAGCGGCGACGTGAAGCACGTGCGTGGCTTCAATGGGGCGCTGCAGGACGTTCGCGGCCGTGGCACGGTTGCGCTGCAAGGGGAGGCCGGGAAGCGAGTGCTCATCCCCGACGTTCTCTACGTCCCGGGCGTGCAGGCGAACCTGCTTTCGGCTGGCCAGCTGAAGGAGAGCGGGGTGACGCTGAAAGATGACGGAGATCGGATGCTGCTTGTCTCCACGGCGGGGGACGTGCTCGGTCGAGCGACGTACACCGGCTGGGTCCTCTGCACTGACCTACGCCCATGCGCGGAAAAGGCGACGAGGCCCGCGAAAGAGGAGGTGGCTCTGCGGACGATTGTCTCTGCAATGAAGGCAACCCCGAACAGGCTGCACGCGAGGCTTGCGTACGTTGGCATGGACACGATTCGGAGCTCGGCAAAGCACGAGGTCGCCACTGGGCTGGAC